TATATATATATTTATATAAGTATATTTTTTCAAGATAATTCTATATCAGCTAGGATCTTATTACTAACGCTTATGTCGAACTAGAAAATGCGATTTCATAAATTCACTATTTACAGTATGATATAAGTGCTTTCTGCAATCTAGACATATATGTATTTTCCTAGATACATTAATTTACGTATATAAATCTCGATACGTCTAACGGGATTATCAAGCATTATACAAACGATGTCAGTCTTATCCAAAGAAAGTACGGTGAAAATTATATAAATTCATCGGTACTTACAATTATACTACTTAATCGGCTATTATTACGCTCCGTCTATTACCATTCCCGATGTAAAGACCGGAGGTTGATAAGAACAGTTGGAGAGAAATCGTGCATGGTTTTCTTTCAGTAACACATTTAATTTCTTAGTAAAATCGATACATTTTTACAAGGCAACTTATCATACAAATACTTAACAAAGTAATCCAGACAATAAACATTGTAGGAGAATGCAATAATTTTCAATTTATGCCGGCGGTATCCTATTCGATCGATTATACGGTCATCCTTCATAGAATTTACTTCTTTGCGTGAGCTCGAATTGCGATAACAATCTCCTTGTTTCTTTCCTTGCAAATTACTTTAAATTATATATATAAAAGAAAAAACGAAAAATGTAGATAATTATCTTCTACAATTTTGCCAGAGATTATAAATACATTATTTTACGTTAAAAATCATATTTGTTTGTACGTCCTTCTAACACGTTTGATTTGCTTGCGAGGGAATATTTTATTTGATGGGAATTTTTACGATGTGTGTTACGCACTCGTGAGAATATTGAATGGAACGCGATGAAATTTGTCATGAACATGTCCATCTCGATCGCATATATACAATATATCGAAATTGCAATATTCGTATATTAATCAATGTATAACAATAATTTATTCCACAAAATATGATGAATTATCACTTCATTTTGTCAACGTGATACTGAATTTCTCTAGCACCTTCATAGCGGAAAATGAAGAATGTAACAAATTTTTTTTTAATTAACAGTAGTTTTCTTCAGAACACGAACATTTTTAACCGACTATCTTAGTTCTTTCATGAAATAAACAAACATCAGCATCGATTTGGCACTGTTCATGTTGGATACTTCGTTCTATCTGATATGATTGCACAGAACCGTCGTTGCTTTCGTCAAAGGGAAGCAATAAAATACTAGGTAATGCATCGGTGATTGATTATCGAGTTCGTTATCGACAATTATTTTTTCGAGCGTTTTGCAAAGTTCTAGGGCGACACGATTAAAAGCTATAATTTCTACAACATTGTGTAAGCAAAATAATGAAATAATCTTTCGCTCGAACGCGCACTAATCGATCGCAATGCCCGCGTACATAAATCCAAATTGCCCTCATTAACAAACATAACAAAAAAGAAAAGGAAAAACATTAAAAATAAAGCATCTGAGGGGACGTGTAACATTGTCATAATACAAAAGATTCAGCAGCAGATACGCGTTTCGCGAGCCCGCCCAAAACGTCACGCGACGCGGCGCTTGATTGATCAATTAACCGATTATCAATTATAAATTATCTGGTCGTCAGGCCCCGCTCCTCCCCGCGACGTGACGAACGTTCACCCGGCAAAACGAGAAAATGTCTTCCGTCGAATTATCCTCTCGAGAACATCGAGAGAGACTTCAAGAGTCGAAATTAAATGCAGACGGGATTACGGGGTTAACGAGTAATTAACGCGTGCACTCGCATACACAATTACACCCATGCGCACACATGCACACGTATATATACGCGCTTACAGGCCGCGATATCGGCAGAATCATCTGTCCATGAATGACGTATGCGCAAATTCCTAATGCCTCGATGAGTTTAATTATTTACAGAAGAGTGGCTTTATGTCATACATGTATGTGTGTATGTGCGTGTGCGTGTGCGCGCGCGCGCGCGCGCGCGTGTATGTGTGTGTGTGTTTGTGTGTGTCAAGTTTTCTTAATTCACATTATACATAATACATATAGACTTAGATTATTAATAGTACCATACGCGAAAGCAAGCCCAAACGGCACTGAACCTCGTAAAATTTCATCGGTGAACCAGGTGATTGCCAAACGTTTACGGCATGCTCGCACAAAAATAACAGACATACACACATACACACCTCGCATTCTCTCTCGCTCTTTACACTTGTCTTTCCTTCTATGCACGTGTGATTTAATTATTCCTTAACTCTGCAGAGATTTACACTCAGGACAAGTACATGCAAATATCAATTTCGTGTTTTAAATTATTCAGCGACAAATCTGTCAAGCCTCACAATGCAGATATGTATGTCTTGTTAATTAAAGTTTGGCCGTGTCGATTTGAAATTACTTATAACTTGAAACGCGAAAGTTATGCAATTCTGCAATGTTTTACTTTGTCAATGTTCGGTAAATAATAATAGTAATTACAATTGCAAAAAATAAAAAAATATTTCTTTAATGTTTTTGAAAATAATAAAACAATGCTTGCGATAATCGAGTTACTGATATATATATATATATTACAAATATGCAATATATATATAAAAAATCGTGATAATAGAAATTGCAGACAACTCTTACAGAAAAGATTTACTCAAACTACATGTGCACATCTAGTCAATCTGTCAAAAGTTTCAAATTCAAATATAAAATTTATAGTAATATTTGTATCATATTAATAATATTGTATCTTCTTACTTTATTTGATTGTTTTTACTAAAATACTCTAATTCGTACATTTTCCTTTTATTATAGTTCAATTTCCCGAAATAAGAAAAAGACAGCTGCTTAAACTGACGAATAGAGACGAAATGTAACATATTTATTCATCAATAAAAATTAACATTTGTTTCCTTGTATCTTATAACAGTTATAACTAGACTGCGAAAGTTTGTGATTTTCTAAAGTAAGATCCAAATTGTGGTCCGAGATGTGTTATTTTCTTCGCAACACAATAATAATAAAAAAAAAATCATCTAGACGACACAGAGAAACAATACTCGTTAAATTTTCGTTAAAGCGATTCTCAAAACTGCGTTTTAACGTTATTCATTTAACGTTTTAACGTTTATTCATTTAAAAAATTGTAAAACTTCACAAACTCTCGCATTCTACTTACAGTACAAGTGCACCGAAACATCAATTATTGCCATATTCAATAACGTCAATAAAATTAGAATTGTTAACTGGAATTACAACTGAAACTAAGATAACTGTAATAAATAAAAGTGGACAACTATGATAGATATCAAACGAACGAGGAAGATCCTTTCAAACTAATTTTTTAAAAATCCTATAAGATTTGCGACAAGAGACTCTTACTCTCTTCAACTCAAAATTAAATATTTCGTGGTACAAAAAAATTTTGTATCAAAAATTCCTTGCAAATAATAATTTTCCTAATTGCACATATCGTTACGATCTAATAAATAAAGTATACAACTACGCTTTCCGTCTTCAGTCACTGCACAGAGAAATGACACGGGCGCCTTGTGGCAATTAAACTAGCTTTTAAGCTCGACAAATATTTCTCGTTAAATATATATGGAGACCAAAAAATACTGATGAAGAAAAAATCGAATTATTCGTGTCGGTAGACCCCGTACAATTTAAAGTGCTCGCCGTACCAATGTGAGCGCGCTTCCTATATTTGTGTGTTTTGGGATTTGGAGACCGCGCACTTGGGAAGAAACTACTGGCCTCGATTGGTGTGCATATAATAGGACTAGGATTGGACGGGGACGGGGGAAAGTTTGATGGAGAGGACTGTCGACATCTAATTCCTTACAATTTCGATACGTATACGTATTAATATATGTGTGTATATGCATAGTACCTTTTTAATTTATTTATAGACTTCATGCTTAGAGAAGTAGGGAGATCATTAACGTGATATCTTGCCATCGTTTTATGCAATATGTTCTTTCCACATTCGATTCAATAGCGTGACATACATTAACTGCCTGTAATTGATTGGAAACGTTGATATACAATAGACTTAGCAACCAAAAACGACTTGTAACGTATAGATATATATGTATAAGTCCCTTAATTATATGTATATATATAATTAAATATAGTGGTCTTACTATATATTCGTCACGTATCACAGAAGGAAGTGCTAATAACTATAATATAATCTTCTTGAACGCGTAATACCTAACAATTCGAAATTTTTATGTTAATTGTCCAAGACAATTGAAATACTAGCTTTCAATGCATTGAACTTGAAAAGCACCATCTCGCCACGGTGCTGAGTCTATCCTATACCTTAGAAAACGATGAAGTTAAATATATATATTTATATATCGTACAAAAAAAAAATCGTCGAGATGTTAGCGTCAAATCTGGAATTCCGTTTTGCCGTGTGGCGTACATGTACGTTAAATATAAAACGTCGCGTTAGCGATCTTCCCACTTATCCCCGTTCGCTCGAGTGTCATCGATCGTGTCGCGGAGCTACGTACACCTATAGTATCGTTCTGCATCGCGGATTCCTGACCGGCTCGATCGGAAAGTAATTTGAAAGATCGTTGCACGCGCGCGTGTCGCGTACCGTAGCGCTCATTTACAAACATCGACCACCTCCTGACCGTTCTCTTTTTTTTTTCTTCGACCGTTAATTACCATTTAATGAATACGAAACTACTTACGATCAACTTCGCTAGACTATACAGAGTGCTACCAAGTGTAGCGGACGGGTACGCCGGGACGCATCCGGTCTCGTCACGGATGCGATTCTTAGTTTATGATGTATTTGTGTTTGTGTGTGTGTATGTGTGTGTGTGTGTGTGTGTGTGTGTATGTGTGTTTTGAATGTGTATGTCTGATACTGAGGCCTCTTTGAAAGGTAGGAGGACCCGCTTAATCACGAATAACACAATGCTCTTCGTTCGCTGGGCGAATGCTTAAAGACTAAACTCAGTCGCTCCCGTACGTACCCACCACCACCACCACCATCACGGCTTCATCGATTTATTTCCTAGATTCAATCCCGTTGGACTGTCCGATCGATTCGCTTCTCCGGCGGAACCGCGCGTTGCTTCTTGAGAGTTGTGTTTTTTTGAAAAGGTCGAATAGCAGATTAAATATATCGATGGCACATTATTTATCTCGCATTGTATACTGCTTTCGTAATCACGTAAATTATTAGATAGATAATCACATTCGTGATTGAAACAAAAAACAATTTGACTTTTTCGAAACACAAAATATTAAGTATTGCATCGTATAGAATAGAAACAGCTTCGCGCCTTTTTAATTTACATATAATTATATATAAAGTATACATATATATTTTTAATCGTTTGTAATAAAATTATGTTACTATCACTTGGGTACAACGGAAGGTTTAAAAATTTGCTAGAGTCGCCATTGTCATGTTTTGTTTCTATAGCACGAAATGCATAATCGCGAAGCTGCATCGGTTCCTCCGGTGAAGGGTACTTCCTGTCGTGTTTCCGGGGCGCCCGGTAAGACGCGCCGACCGCATGGCGCGCCATGCACGGTGCCCTATCGTCGCTACATTAATTTCTAATTCAATGTACATGAGAGAGAAAGAGGGAGAGAGAGAGAGAAGAGAGAGGAAAGAGAGAGAAAGATATATGTATATATTTATATATACGTGTCTATTAGATATAACCGCGAAACAGAAAAAAGATCGAAAGAAAAATAAAATACATCGTTGTTCGCAATTGCTTGAGTAAGGATATGGATCGAAGGATCGCTCCCGAATATCGCCGAGATTACGACGCTATCAGCATCAGATGTCCACGCTGACATCATCGACCGGTGGTACTCGCCACCGTCGTCGTTTAACCGACAGTGTCCTTTTTTTTCACAAATTCGACTGGCTCCTTTTTTTGTTACTTTAAAGCCGCCTTTTTAAAACGTCGCGGCATCAGATATGATACGTTGAGGGGGGACTCGTACGAAGGAGGAGTGTGGAGGAGGTGGGTGGTCCTGTGGAGGGCCTTCGTCGTCCTCTTGAGAATCTTTGTTTCTGTTACTCGCACCCCGTTCTCTCTTCCGCTCTTTTACGTTCGTTCTCTACTCTACCCTGGTCAACGTAGAAGGGGGGGTTCGCTCCTCTCTTCGCGTGGCCGAACGAACGGGACACATCTTGTATACATCTCGTTTCTTTTTATCGGTTCATTATGACGGGGCGATACTACGCCTCGACTTGATCCTCCGGGATCATTATGTCGGGCGCCATCGACAGGTCCTCCGCTATATCCTCGTCCTGGCCGGAATCGTGGCCGTGGCTCTCAGAGTATTCTCTTTCGTCCGTCTGATCCTCCTCCGTCTCTTGCTCCATGGGGCCGTCCGGTAGTTCGCGCTTTATTAATCTCGGGTGCTTCCCTCCTTCCGGACTCTGGCTCTCCTGCTTTATGTGCACGGCCGGTTCATCCAGCGGCGACCTGTTGAATCGACGACACGCACGAACGTGTTGTGTACGCTTATGAGTGGAAAACTTGCGAAAGCGTTCGCTGACTGTGTGCCGGGATATATATTTCATAGAGCGCGACAGACGCAGCGGTATATTTTTTTTAGCGATACGGCTAACGGGAGAATAACGATTTCGTTTTTCCGGTATTGTTTCATTGCCGCGCGGTTTCGCGCAGTTTGTCAAGCTGCAACAAATAGTTCGTGTTTTGCGGAAGAATCGCGCGGATAAGGGTATTTTTATGCGCGGCTTTTATGCGCGCGATCAAAATGGACTCGTAAATCCATAAACCGTCCGTAAATATATCCGTGAATAAAACAAATTTCGCGATGTCGGATAAATAAAAGATTCTAGACGTATGTTTCGGCAATATTATTATAAGCTGAAACAACATTCCGAAAATGTAGGGGCACAAATGCAGATTTGTACCGAAAAAGAGAGTTATTACAAGAACTCGAATAACACTGATCAATATTTGATAAAACGTATTGCTTGAGGAATGTTTGAGAAATGAGGAAATGACGTACTTAATGGTGAATGTTCACTTACATCAAGTCATTATGAGGTAACACATGTTCCTTATCAGGACTTGTCGCTGTTGACGTGCACATCGGATTCAAAAATCCCATGTTAGACTCCCCGAGTGCCTGGAAATACTCAAATTGCATTAGATCGTTAGTTATTACTGATTTAGTACCAAAATACTAATCTCACTTAGATACTACGCATTAGTTACTTTAAGAAAGAATAATTGTGCTTTCTGTGTTTATATTATATACATATAGTACGTAGCTAGAGCATAATTGTGCTTCTATTTGACATAGCTAGTGATAATTTATCAAAGAACATAAATAGATTCTCGTACTGTTAGCGAATCTTTCTAAACGAAAACTAAGCGAATTTTTCAATCATTTATAATTAATACATATAAGCTGTATAATATGTCAATGTAGTATGTATAATATGTTCAATTAATATGTATACGTTTGAATTATTCATCTCGTTATTACAACATTGATTTATTTTAATGCATAGCGTATCATTCGACTAAGACAATAAATTGAAAAAGTTCATAAGAGTTTTTTCATATTCCAGTAATTAATTATTAATAGTTACCTGCAGGTTGGCATTAAGCGCGTCACCGTACATAGTAGGACTATGCGTCAGCGTTGGGCTCTTCGACGGTACACCCCTAGATATTGATAGAAAAAAATATGTTAATAGTATTCGAAATTCGGCCGTGAGCATATATTTCCTGAAATCAATCGCGTGTATGAGTTTTCTTTAATCGTGTCAATGTTGGAACGGATCTGATAGAGAAGGGGGAGTATATAAAAGTTGAGTGTATGATGATCATGTGTTTGTATGTTGTGTGAATTGGAGTGGTAGATATGTAGACGTATTAAAGACAAAAAGGAGAAAGATAGAGAAAGCGAGAGAAAGAGAAAGAGGTGTAAAAGTGAAAGAGAAGAGAGAGACAGAGAGAGACACAGAAAGAGAGACAAAGAGAATTATATAAATATGAAAAATGTAAAATACATATAAATATCAAAAAGAGATTGAAAAAGAGCGAAAAAGTATCCGAGATACTCTTACCTACTTACAGTGCCAGTCATATCGTTTTTGTCCACCGCACTCGTCTCATCGGTGATTGAGCGAGATTAGATAAAAATTACAAAGAGAGTATTTCAAAAAAAGCGCTCCCGTCTCGAAACTTTATAAATAAAATATCAATTTGTTCTTTTTCTTTTCTCCATTCATTTTTAATATGTGACATTACGTCAGTAATGTTTCGAAACAAACGTACTTATAAACGGCCACCAGGTTACCTGAGCTTACCATTTACTTTTGTTACTTCGCAAGTCATTTAGTAAATACTTGTTTGCACAACAATCGCCCTTTTCTTCCCGACGATTTGCGAAGAGACGCTTTTCGTTGTATTTCTTGCGATTACCATCAAATAATGGTAAATATACTTAATCTTAGCGTATATCGTCGGAAAACTTGACGAGGGATTTAAAATGCATGCGAAAAAGATGAGAAAAAAGATTTCCTGAGACCGTTTATGAAGCAACAAGGAGCGCTGAATAATGAGAAAAATAGAAAAGAGATAGATGAAGATAGAGAAGTGGAAAGTTGAGATAGAGAAAGAGAGAGAGAGAGAGAGAGAGAGAGAAGAGTTAAAAAGAGAGATTGAGTAAAAGTAGATAAAATTTTAAAAAGTATTAAAGATTAATAAGTAAAAATTTTCGAGAATTTTATCATTAAATATTACTAAAATTTTATACTGACTCCACATGGTACCTGTGATACAAGACGAGTCGCAACGATGAAGATCGAAGAATTCCACCCGAGGTTATAATTGTAACGCATAGTATACACAATTTACACATGCGCGAGTAGCCCTGACGTACATATTCACTCAAATCATTCGCTCATTGCGGAAGCATGATGTAAGATGCTAAAGTTCATTTTGCGATTCTTAACTTTATTTGCTTTGAAATGGCATTCGTTATTTCAACTTAAAACTTTTTAAATTTCTAAGAAAGTATTTTCAAGTTTTCTTCTAGCATCAGTCATAATATAATTTACTGAGATATTTTGTCTGAAAATTAATATTTAATATTTTTAATATTTTTCTTCCTATTTTGATTCCTATTTCAAAATTATTTAAAAATCTTTCTTTAATCTTATTATACTAATCATTAAATGAAAAGTTAAGATTTTGTATAAGACGAATGTAACAAGTTAAATTGCAAAGTTGAAGAATTTTTAGATTTGCATCCGCATATTTTGCATACTTATAGTTGAAAATCGCAGACAGATTGCAAAAAAAGTTGCATCAAATAAAAACTGATGAAACAGAACTTCGCCAGAATGCTATACTGCTACGTCACTGTAGAAATCAAATAATAAAAATGACGAACGTAAAATATGACAAACGTCTATTAACGTCAATTCTACGATCAAAAGAAGAGAAAAGTAATTCTCTACTATTATGAGGGAACAAAAGAATAAACAGAACAAAGGAAGAAACGGAAGCAAAACTTGAACATAAAAGAACGCTTGCCCGCAGAAACACACCACCACTTTCACACGAGACGCTACGCAAATAGCATTACATTAAGCGTCATACATTTATAAGCAGTGTCTTCAAAGTGGGTGGGATAGTTTAGAGGGCTTAATCAGGAAACGAATATTAGGGATTCATGGTAATCCATGCGAGCAACTAATAAACACATTGGAAATCCGGCAACTTTGGCCAATCGTCCTGTTGTTGGGGTGTTGCAGGACCGTGCAGGATTCAAGCTATCACGGAGTGCAAGAGCCTCGGGTTACAATACTAGTGACATATACGGGGATGTCCTATGAACTCTTGGACGTCATTTGCAAAAGTGTGCAAAATTTACACGTCTTTCAAAATACAAGATTCTATATTTTTACGAAGAAAAAAAATATCGATTTTTTGTAATTGTAGATATTCTTTTCTCTCTCAATTTAGAATTACTGTTTTATTATTTAGAAACTTTCTTTTTTTCTAAATTCTAAACGTTAATTGTTTTGACAATTAAAATACAAATAAAATCTCTGTTCAAATTCACATTTAACACATTAAACATAAAACAATTTATTTTATCTATCTATATTTATCTCAAAATAATTGTTTCAATGTTGATTTCAAAAATAAATTTAAAATGATCAAAGTATATTCAAAAATATATTCCATGATACTATGTAAAATTCAAATCGTATAGTAAATTTTTTTCTTTACAAACCTCAATGTTATATTTAATTTTATTTATATTTGCCAACGACATGCGTTTATGATCAAATAAATAAATTTAAAAATAAAAATCATATTTTTTAAATTTTTAATAACACAATTTTACATGTTTTATATTTATGCAATTGTGCCTATATAGTTTAGACGTCCTAAAAAACTGAAATAAATTGCACACTTGTAACAAATGAACGAGCAAGGTAATAATGGAATGATACTACTGTCCAGTTTTTAAAGGAATCGGAACTTTAAAGATGCTCGAGGCAGGCATGATGCGGAAATTATTTCCAGAGGGATTGGACAAACTGCATGGAGCTATTTCCTGCTGCCTTGGCGTAATCTGTTACTGATACACTTCAAACTGTATCGCGATATAGCTTAGAAATGGAAGAAATTTTGCTACAAAGATATTTTATTGATATTTGTAATTGATTGGTATAGAATTTAACTAATCCGAATTGATTCTCGCATCTATAATTGCAGCTGTTAGCATCATAATAAATAATTAAAAAAGATATTTAATTAATAAAATTTTTATAATAATTTATGAAGAGAAATTTATCTAAAAATTTTAACTGAGCGTGTTGTAATCCAAGTTGTTTGCACAAATACATTGTAAAATTAATCAAAATTAAATTAAAACATACACAGAATATAAAATATTTTTGTTTTTAAAATATTAAATAAATCAAACAAATATTTTCCATACATATCTCGTTATATTCACGTTAATCCATGTTACACACATTAAAGTTTCTTTCATTTATCTTGTATGGTTTAACATAGAAAAATGACGAAGTGGATTCGCGCTGCTTCGAAGCAAATTTTTTTATTCCGAAGGGCACGTCGTTACGTCAATATAACAGTAACAGCTGCAACCGTGCACATCCGCGGAGCAAGTGTGCACAAAAACTTTCAAAGGCAGCAGGTTGTAAAGCCCATTTAGTGGTTCGATTTGTAGACAACGACCAAGCGAAAACGTCCCGGTCGCCGCTTTTTCATAAAAAAGTACCGCGGTAAGGTCAGAACGTCGCGCCAGCCAGCCAGCAGAATTCTAAAAAGTGGTAGTGCTTACTGTGCGGAGAGGTGGGGTGGAGTGGGTGATGGGGTTGGGTCATATTTCCTGGGGCGGCCGCGGGACAGATGCCGCCGCTTTACGAACTCGGCGTCGTCCACCATCCAGAATGACCCGAAGTCGTCCTCATAGCGCACAAAACACTTGTGCAATGATAGATTGGTGCGGATCGCGTTCTGTATACACAGACAAGACCACCAAGAAATAGAGAAAAAGAGAGTAAAAAAGATAAGGTTTCTGGTTGATTTTTTTTTTTTGTAGTTGATTGCGCATTTGTTCGCTTTTCTTTCGTTCTTTCGTTTCTTAATTTTGCGCTCGGCCCGCTCGCCGCTCGCTACCCTTCGTACGGGGGATGTAGGGCCTCACGTATTGCGCGGGGCCGGTTTTTGTGCTTGCCGTCGCATTTTACGGGACCCAGACGTACCAGCGGCACGCTGGCACGTCCTCTCGCCGACGGCTCCGTGTCGCTCTTATCGTGTTGCCGGGGCACACGAATGATCTCGACTTTTTCAGAGAGAGAGCAAACAACAGCACAGATTCGCAAAAAGAAGGAATGGACAAATCAAAGAAAAATAAAACAGAGACGCAGAGTAATAAAATGTAGTAAGGCGGCTTCCTCTCACTACCTGACAAAGTGTAACACTGGCGGTTCTCACTCTGTGTTCCGGGGGCAATTCCGCTTCCGGGCTTCCGGGCTTTTCGAGACTAGACTTGGGCCAAGATACTCGGACCCGCCGTTCTCGATCGGGTTAGTCGCTGCAAAGCTCACATGCTCGTTATGAAAGCACACATGACGTACTACGGATTCCCATCTCCGAGAACGTGATTAGCATCTCTAAACTCTCTTTCTATCTGTGTTTTTTTTTTTTTCCTTTCATCTGTTGTGGCTCTTTCATCGGCGACGCACTCTCACGCAACATCCACGCACCCACCAGACTGCCGACTACCATCACACGACGACGGGCAAGTAAGAAGTTCACACACACGCGGGTTCAAACACAGTGATGACGGTAGTTTCTCGAGTATTTCAGCCTGCGTAAATATAAACTGATTTTGTTCGATTATATATAAATTTATTTGCAAAGATGTGAAACTTTCCATTTGCTGTTTCGTTTTCCCAATTGAAAATAGAAATATCTAAGTAAGGGACTCGAAGTAAGGCGCGTCTTTCAATTTTGAAAACTTTCGATTTTCGTCGCGAATATAATAATTCCGTTTGTGATATATAAACGGCACCTCGAGAAACTGTATATTAGCAGCAAACATACAGACAGACGACACAAGCGACGTATAGTAAAGACTGTTATGGCGTTTTAGGTGTATAAAGAGGTTTATACACACACAGATTTATACGTATGAATGCGCACGTATCAAGTACAAACAGGTACAGTATACTATGAAGAGAGATGTAAAACAGGGAACACGACGTAGACATTTTGTGTAGGCGATCAAATATATGATTAAAATAAGAGAAGTAGAGAGAAATGCACAGGAGAGCGTGCGTGTATGTGCGTATACATACATACGAAGGCCACAAACGCACTGATACGTGCGTTCGCCTTTAAGTCGCATATATAGAAATATATATATAATATATAAAACAGATATATATATTAAAAATACATATATGTAAAAAGAGCTATATATATATACGTATAAGATAAAATATTAAATATTCTTAATATATATATAAATATGTGTAGATAAATATATATAAATATCGATATATAAAAATATGTATAAAAAGTATGTAAAAAGTTTTATAAATATGATATAAAAACTGTAGAAAATTGGCA